CCCTTATTTTTCCCCTCCCCTCTCTCTACCCGTGAGTTCTACCGAACCACCCCCCCCCCCAACCCGTTCCCTCCACCGCCCGCCTGGTCCCCGTCGCCGCCGAGACCAAGCCGCCACCTGCTGTCGTCGTCGACCGCTAGGACACCACCGCCGGAGCATCGCCGCCGTGCCGAGGAGCCGCCGCGATGCGTGGAGAAGAGAAAAAGAAAAAGAGGAGGAAAGCCTTGGGTCCTTTTGTTGAGCTTTGGGTCATCTTTCAATCATGCCTAGGAGATCAAGTGTAACACCCCAATTTTCATAACCAAAATTTCCTTACAATTATTCTTTCTTAGTTGAAAAATTTACTAATAACATAGCGGAAGCATTAACTAGATGTGGCGGTAGCATCCCTTTTCCCCTTGTTTTGTTTAGCTTTCGCAAACTATACGATGGTTTCTAATTAAATAAAAGATGAACAAAAATAAAATTTTATCGAATTTTAGTCGTGGAAAATTGGGGTGTTACATCTAGTTTGGCAAGAAAAGTGGAATGGGTGGATGCCCATTATCTCATTTTAGAAGGTAAAGCTTTCGACCCGCAATCTTTTCCTAGTTCTTTGTTATATATGCGTAGATATCAAGGCTTGTTAGATGGGTTTCTTACCATAAGGGCCGAGACATACCCAAGCTTGGTAAAGGAGTTTTATCGTCACATGGTTGTGACAAATGATGGAGGAAAGCTTGAAATCACCTCTAAGGTGAGGGGTGTGAAAGTGGTTTTGTCTGAACAGAGGCTAGCTCAGCTCTTAAGTTTAACCGCTACGGGAGTTGCTCTATACAGTGGTAAATCATGGATTAGTACGGATACCATGGGGTACCGGGACTATTTGAGTTATCTGTTGGGTAGAACGAGTGGTTTCACTCAAGCCTCAAGACCATAGAAGAAGTGGTTGTCTTCCGAGCAAAGGATCTTGGTGATTCTGGTGTCGGATTGTTTGTTGCCCAATAACAACAAAAGTCGGTTGTTGGGAAAGCTAGAGTGCACCTTTGCTTTTTGTCTGAAGAATATGATAAAGTTTAATCTGTCTGCTTTGATGTTGCAACACATGGTTTTCTGTCGAGACCACAACTGGAAGAGTCTACATTACGGTATGGTTTTGAGTTGGATTCTTGTCAAGAAGGGCGTGAGTGTGGAAGGTTGTGTACCGAAGGCCGTAGGCAAGATGGTGCTGGATGCTATCAACCTGCGGAGTTGCAACTTGTTCCAGTTGGATGACGGTGATTATATCACTCTTGAAGAGGTTGCTAGGAAAGCCCCCGAAGAAAGAAATGAGTTGGCAGCTGAGCTCGAGATCCCTGTTGGAAAGTTTAACCTTGCGGTCCAGAGCTTGGGAGGTGATGTCGGGGATGATGACGAAGCAGGCTATGAAGAAGAGGTGGAAGCGGAAGAAGCTGCCGAGGTTGAGGAAAGTGATCGGGAAAGTGAAGAGAACCGAAGGAGAAGAGAAGCCCAAACCAAGAGAGAGCACGATGCTATGATGCACGAGGAGCGTGTGGTCACCCTGTTACATCAACAAAACCGTATGATCGAAGAAGGCTTCGCTTTTATGAAGACGCAGTTTGTTGCTGTCCATCAAAGGTTAGATAAGATAGAGGCCAGCTCGAGCTGAAGAGGAGATGATGACGAAGAGTTCGAGAAAGATACCGATGAATCGGAGAGCGAGTCGTTCTAGCGCAGTGTTGTGGTAATCCCGTCTACCTTTCCTTAGCTTGTTGTTATCTTTTTAGTTGTTGCTGTCGTTGCTAGTTGTTTGTTGTTTGCTTTGTGTGCTCGTTTTTGCTTGCTTGTTTGGTTGAGTGGTTAGTTTTGTGGCTTGTTTTAGGAGCTAGTTGCTTAGATCTTGAGTGTTGTTTAGAGGTTTGGTGGTTGTGTTTGGTTTGAGTTTGATGTGCTCAATATCTCCGTCGGTTGATTCTTTCAATCCTTGCAATGCTATGACTTCTTACTTGCTTTTGGAACCTTTTGAATCCCTTAAATTTTGACCAAAAAGGATGTTCTTGACACTCTTGTCAGGTTGTTGTTGCGCTTCACCATTTGTTTTAATTCGTCGTACCCAAGCTCGGGGATGAAGCTTCTTTTAAGGGGGATAGGATGTGACACCCTGTAAATCCGGATTCTATTTAGGGATTAATTATGTTATTAATCCTAATCCAATTGATAAATTAATTCTTTATATTCCTGAAAATTCAATAGTCGGGGACTAGTAATTGACTAGTCAACCCAAGTCAAGGTGTTGTACAAAAAGCTTTGTAAATAGTACCCTTGTTCCCTTACACCTTTTCATCTTAGTAAGGATAAAGATGACTTTACACCTCATGTTGGTATCCAAGCTAACCTAAGGTCATTTCTCATTCTTCTCCTTACACACTCAAAACATAAAACTCTTCCTTCTCTCTAAAATCTAGCCAGCTTTCTCTCCAAGCTAAGTTTAAGCTTTCCAAGATCTTCAAAGTTTGTCTCCAAGATTCCACCTTTCCTACTCTTGAGCTTGGTGTTGAAAATCCCCAAAGGGATATTGTTGTACAGGGTTCGGTACCTGCGGGCGGAACGGCGGGTAGTGGTCCACCCGCCGCGCAGCCCGCGGGGTACGTTGGAATGTGGGAACAGTTCCCGCGGGCGGAACCACGGGTGCGGGTCGACCCGTGGCCCCACCCGCGGGGTACAATGATGGCTGGTGTGGGGATTTGTTCTCCATGATTCTTTTGACTCGGTATTTGGTGTTTTGACTTCCCGGTGTTCTTTTGTGGAACTATTTGAGTGTCTTCTTGATGTTTCGTATGTCTAGAACTATATGGTAGGATTCCATGTAGGTTTTGGTGTCTTGAATCGTGCTAAGTGTTCAACCTTTTGATTCGTTGAACCATGATGAGTCTTGTGTGTTCTTCGGAACTATGTTTAGTTTACCCGTTTGATAAGCATGCTAGTTCGGTGTTTAAATGCTAGCGTGTGTGGTTTGTTCTTTCCTATTGTGGATGATGATTTGTGTTAATCATCGTTGTGGTCGGATTGTGATCCTTCTCTTGTTGAGTATAGTTTCATATCTTCGTTGTGATCCGTTGATTGATTCCTATGATGGTGTTGTGTGTGTGGATGTACCTGGATTGCACGATTAATGGTATGGGACATTAGTCACCAAGGTACGGCAGCGGTCCTCGTGGTGGCCATGACGCGATTATGGAGTTTGTGACCAAAGTGATGGGTTCACGTATTTCTTGGGAGGCATGTGTTGCCATGTGTGTGATTGGTACCGTCGTGTACTTTGTTGGTGGAAATTGTTGGTGGATAGGGATGATGGTCCTCGGAGGAATAAGGTTGGACTCAGAAGTACAGGGGTCCTGGAGGTAAAGGTTGGAACTAGTTATAAGGTTGGGGGTAGCCCTAAGGTTGGATCCGGGCATAAGGAAGGCATATCAATTCGTGATGGGTGATGTCACGAAGGCATGTGTTGCCGTGGTGTAATTCTCAATTCGTGACGAGTGATGTCACGAAGGCATGTTTTGCCAATGTGTGTCTCTTATCCTCTTGTGTTGAGTATGTCGGGTGTTATTTTACTGAGTGACGGTAGAATATACCTTGAGCCTTACCTGTGTTGTCATTGTTACGTCTTGTTGTCTTGGGATGTGTTCCGTTATTCTTGTTGTGAGTGATATAGAGTCTTGTGCCTGACTTCTATCCTTGGTTTTGAAACTTATATATATAGTATTCCGTTTCGAAATGATTTTGCATATGCTACCTATCTATATATGCTATTGACACGTATTGGTGGGTTACCAGCATCATTCGCTGACCGGGTGTCGTCCCATATATTTTATGTGTTTTTCAGGTTCCTAGTAGTGGCGAGCACGATCTAGTGATGGATAGTGTAGATCCCTCAGACCTTGTAGTTTGTTTTGGGCTTGTGTGCATTCTATGTTGGATTTTAGACTTGTGTATGGTTTGACCTTGTCCCTTTTAGACTGATGATGTGGATGTTGTTATCGCCTGTGCGTTCACCTTAGTGTGGACGTGGCATAACACTCTTCGTTTTCCAGTTTTTAGATAGTTAGCCTTCCGCTATGATTGCTTATATTGTCGTTAGACATCTTGCATGTTTAAGTTTAATTTAGTCTGGAAATCGGGGGTGTTACAAACACAATAAAAATTCTTTTTAGAAAAATGGTCAATTTTGGAAAAAAAAATGTTATTTAGTTCTTGTACCTCAGTTGGTCAGAGCACCCATTTAGTAAGCGAGGTCTTGAATTCGACTCTCAATAAGAGCACTACATTATAGCACAAGAATAGTTAGTTGTTTTTTTTTTAAAGTACATAGAAATTAATACTCCATATTTTTTTAGATTAGAAATTAGATTTAAACAACTTTTAATTTCGGATGTAACCCGTAAGATTATTTATTATAGTTCATAATTAAATTCTAATAATTAATTATACAATGATTATATATCTATTGACTTGATATATTTCTCATATAAATACTCTATAGTAGAGTGTTTAATAGTAAAGTTGTCGAAATTGTAGTTAATGAAAGCTTAATGGAAGTACTAGATTGTAACTGGCATGACATTTGCCCATAATTGATAAAGGTAGTAACTGGCATGAGGTTTACTCCTAATTGATAACTATTGGATCATTTCTCTGTTGTTATTTTAGTTCTTTGGCCCCTTAAATCTTATTACTAAGACAACCAATATTCCTTTTCGAAAAATTGTCACTTTTGGAAAATGTGATATCTTGCTCTAGTAGCTCAGTTGGTTAGAGCAACCGTTTAGTAAGTAGGAGGTCTTGAGTAGAACTCTCAACAAGAGCATTACATTATAGCCTAGCAATTACTAGGTTGCAACAGGAATGAGTTTAGCCCCTATTTCTCTGTTTTTATTTTAGCTCTTTGGTCTCATGAATCTTATTACTAAGAAAACCAAAATTCTTTCTAGAATAATTGTCACTTATAGAAAAAGTGTTATCTAGCTCTTGTAGCTCAGTTGGTTAGAGCACCTGTTTAGTAAGCGGGAGGTCTTTGAGTTCAACTCTCAACAAGAGCATTACATTATTGTAACTTAGGAATAATGAGTTGTTATTTGTAAGTATTATTCACTATATACAAAAATTTTGTTAAAATTGTAGCTTAATGAAAACGCAAGTACTAGGTTGCTATTTGTAAGTATGGAATGAATTTAGCCACTATTTCTCTGTTTTTATTTTAGTTCTTTGGGCCCATGAATATTATTTGTAAGATAACAAAAATTCATTTTAGAAAAATTGAAACTTTTGGAAAAAGTGTTATCTTGCTTTGTAGCTCAGTTGGATTAAACACCCGATTAGTAAGGTAGAGGTGTTGAGTTCAACATGTAACAAGTGCATTAAATTATATATATACTAGGTCTAGTGAGTTGTTAGTTATAAGTATTATTTAGTACATAGAAAGTATTACTCCATATTATAACTAAGATCTCAACGAACTTAATTTCGTGTTGAGAGTTTTACCCCTAAATGACAACTTGCTAACTTGGGGACATTTCCCTGTAGTTCTTTGGTGCCAAGAATGTTACTATTAACACAACCAAAATTCTTTATAAAAAAGGGCCAATTTTGAAGTGTTATTTAGCTCTTGTACCTCAGTTGGTTAGAGCACCCGTTTAGTAAGCGAGGTCTTGAATTCGACTCTCATAAGAGCACCACATTATAGCACAAAAATAGTTAGTTGTTTTTTGTAAGTATATAGAAATTAATACCCCATATTTTTTTAGATTAGAAATTAGATTTAAATAACTTTTAATTTCGGATGTAACCTGAAAGATTATTTATTATAGTTCATAATTAAATTCTAATAATTAATTAAAAAATAATTATATATCTACTGACTTGATATATCTTATAAATACTGTACAGTAGAGTGTTTAACAGTAATGTTGTTGAAATTGTAGTTAATGAAAACTGAATGCAAGTACTAGGATGTAGCTGGTACGAGTTTTGCCCCTAATTGATAAAGGTTGTAACTGGCATGAGGTTTACTCCTAATTGATAACTATTGGATCATTTCTCTGTTGTTATTTTAGTTCTTTGGCCCTTTAAATCTTATTACTAAGACAATCAAAATTCTTTTTAGAAAAATTGTCACTTTTGGAAAATGTGATATCTTGCTCTAGTAGCTCAGTTGGTTAGAGCAACCGTTTAGTAAGTAGGAGGTCTTGAGTAGAACACTCAACAAGAGCATTACATTATAACCAAGCAAGTACTAGGTTGCAACTGGATTGAGTTTAGCCACTATTTCTCTGTTTTTATTTTAGCTCTTTGGTCCCATGAATCTTATTACTAAGAAAACATAAATTCTCTCTAGAATAATTGACACTTATAGAAAAAGTGTTATTTAGCTCTTGTACTCCAGATGAATCGAGCACCCGTTTAGTAAGCGAGGTCTTGAATTGGACTCTGAATAAGAGCACTACATTATAGCACAAGAATAGTTAGTTGTTGTTGTTTTTTTTTTTTTTTTAAGTATATAGAAATTATTACTCTATATTTTTTTTTAGATTAGAAATGAGATTTAAACAACTTTTAATTTCGGATGTAACGTGTAAGATTATTTATTATAGTTCACAATTAAATTCTAATAATTAATTATACAATAATTATCTATCTATTGACTTGATATATCTTATAAACATTGTACAGTAGAGTGTTTAATAGTAATGTTGTTGAAATTATAGTTAATGAAAGCTAAATGCAAGTACTAGGTTGCAGGTGGCATGAGTTTTGCCCCTAATTGATAACGGTTGTAACTAGCATGAGGTTTGCCCCTATTTGAAAACTATAGGATCATTTCTCTGTGGTTATTTTAGTCCTTTGGTCCCATGAATCTTATTACTAAGATAACCAAAATTCATTTTTGAAAATTGTCACTTTTGGAAAAAGTGATATCTTGCTCTTGTAGCTCAGTTGGTTAGAGCACCCGTTTAGTAAGTGGGATGTCTTGAGTTGAACTCTGAACAAGAGCATTACATTATAGCCTAGCAAGTATTAGGTTGCAACTGGAATGAGTTTAGCCCCTATTTCTTTGTTTTTATTTAATTCTTTGGTCCCATGAATCTTATTTCTAAGAAAATCAAAATTCTGTATAGACAAATTGTCACTTTATGGAAAAAGTGTTATTTAGCTCATGTAGCTCAGTTGGTTTGAGAATCCGTTTAGTAAGCGGAAGATCTTGAGTTTAAGTATATAGAAAAATGTTGTTGAAATTGTAACTTAATGAAAGCGCAAGTACTAGGTTGCTATTTGTAAGTATGGAATGAGTTTAGCCCCTATTTCTCTGTTTTTATTTTAGTTCTTTGGTCCCTTGAATCTTATTTCTAAGACAACAAAAATTCATTTTAGAAAAATTGAAACTTTTGGAAAAAGTGTTATCTAGCTCTTGTACCTCAGTTGGTTAGAATACTAGTTTAGTAAGGAGAGGTCTTGAGTTCGACTTGTAACAAGAGAATTAAATTATATACTAGGTCTAGTGAGTTGCAATTTATATGTATTATTTAGTATATAGAAAGTATTACTCCATAGTATAAGTTAGATCTCAACAACATTCAATTTCAAATGTAATTAACTAGTGTTTCGCAGTACTGTTGTTAGAAGTTCACCCCAAAATGATAACTTGGGGACATTTCCCTGTGTTTCTTTTAGTTCTTTCGTCTCATGAATGTTACTATTAACACAACCAATTTTTTTTTTTTTTAGAAAAATGGTCAATTTTTTTTTTTTTAAAAAGTGTGATTTAGCTCGTGTAGCTCAGTTGGTTATAGCACCCGATTAATAAGCGGGAGGTCTCAAGTTCAACTCTCAACAGGAGCATTACATTATAGCCTAGGCATAGTGAGTTGCTATTTGTAAGTATTATTCACTATATAGAAAAATGTTGTTGAAATTGTAGTTAATGAAAGCTGAATGCAAGTGCTAGCCCCTATTTCTCTGTTTTTATTTTAGTTCTTCGGTCCCATGAATCTTATTTCTAAGACAACCAAAATTCATTTTAGAAAAATTATAACTTTTCGAAAAAAAGTGTTATCTAGCTCTTGTAACTTAGTTGGTTAGAGCACCCGTTTAGTAAGCGGGAGGTCTTGAGTTCAACCTCAAGAATCCCTCCATCTCCAACCTCAAGCTAGGTGACGAAAATGAACAAGAGTTACGGTAGAATTGTGTTCTTTTGTTGCTAGGGTTGAGGGGTAAAAATGTAATTGTTTGCTTTAAAATATCTCATCAAATGCTTTGTCTTGTAGGAATAGTCAAGGTTTACCTTATATCATGAACTAACTCTAGAAAGATGATTTTTGAATAACTTGGGGTCAAAATAGATTTTTCCAAAGATGATTTCTAAACAAACACTTGGTTCAGTATTCTCCCGGTCTCACTCAGATTAGATTCTCAGTTTAAAACTTGGTACGCGAAGTACCCGAAAATTAGGATTTTGGAATTAAAATAAATTTCGGTGTTGAATTAATTTAAAATGTAACTCAAAATAATTTATTCAAACACCAATTTCTCTCTAAAAATTTAATGGAGCGAAAATGACTATTTTGGAATTTCTTAAAACCGAATTTATAAAATTAAATTTTGGGTTGTCACACACATTACCAAGTAGGAAAGGCTTCGAACTCATAAACTACATTCCTACAAAAACTAAAATTTTAATGCCTTTTAAAAATCAATGACATTCAAAATACTTATTATAATCTGGTCATGTACTACTACAAGAGTACAAGGTGACTATCACATATGACAATGAGACTCACACTATTTTTAAAAATAATCTCAGTTATGTACTTCTACTAGAGTACAACAGATTCATGTACCATCCAAAAGTTAATATCCGGGAAGTAAGACCCGTCCAGAGAAGTAAACATAGAGAAGTAAACTTCAAGAAGTAAATTCTGAATTGTAAGATAATTCTGGATGACCAACGAGAATTAACTGCTCAGATCATGCATTCTATGCATTAATGGATTGCAATAATCTAATTATCGTAGGCTCGCAGCGATCCTTCCGGGATTAACTTAGGCTCTATGAACCTATTCTGATCCAATATTCATAACAGAAGGTTTAGACCAAAATGTGAGAAATAAAAATTAGTGCCCTTAGTGTTACCTTCTGGTCAAAACTATATTAAAAATTAGGCACTATCATCTTGGACAAATAATCAATTGACTTCTAAATAAATACCAAGTCAACTTTGATTAGGAGATTGTCCTAGTGTTGTTATATTCTAATTACTGCTATGACTTGTTGCCTTCTGGGCAATGCTATGTCTAAAAATTGAAGCTATATTCTCTCTTAAAACGTAGGGTGTGAGTTATATCACAACATTCAAGCTCATATCATGTAATTGTTATAACAAGAACAAGTTAAAGTTTAGCAACAACAGGTGCAACCTAACAAAACAATGTTTCTAGTGGCCTATAGCAAATAATTAATTGCCAACAAGAGAGACAACAAATTATCTTATATGAGCCTAATCAAAATAGTATATGCTAAATTTTGTCAAATAAGGGGAAACATATTCAATACGTGATATAATTGTTCCTCATGTCTTGGACACCAGAAACTTAATTGAGTCATGCACATCCATTTTAAATAAAGAGTATCATGTTCGGTACACACACGGCATGACATGACAAGAGATATTCTAGTAATTCATAAACTAGAAAATAAAATGAGAGAAGTACTTGTGCCGAAGGATAACGAGCACATGTTTGCTGCCGGGCCCTTTCATTCATATTTTGAGGAGTCAAAAACAACACTCTTCCAAGCAAGCTCTCATTTTTCATTGTTTCATAAAGCATCAAAACAACACAAAAATAGTAAGATATACAAGCTAAAAAACCGGCAGAAATTTTCAGAATTTTTGACCTGGATTGCAGAATTTTATGGCGAAAAACGGTAACTCATTTTGACACAGAATTTACCAGATAAGAAGTACATCGAGTCTAGATTGTGCACAAAAACTTTAATTTCAAGCAAATCCAAGGTCTAGAAGTATTTTTCTTGAAATTTTTCCCAA